GAAGCCCACCAGCAATAGCCGAAACCACGCCCTAATCTAGCTGTCTTCATTGATGAAAATACAAGACTATGGCTCGCATAAGGAGCAATCACTAAAAAGTGCGAATAGCAGGTCTAAAGACTGAAGCTGTAGAGGTTAGGGAAGGTGTTAGTATCGCCCATCGAAACTTCACCAGTTACACTAGTAGAATAAAAGGCCTCTGGATCCCAAATGGGACTGTCTTTGCCTCCAGAATGGCCACATGGAAAACGAATTCTGCTCCGGTGTCGTCAATTTCAAGGTCTGTCTTCTAGCTCCATAGCAGTTTAGAAGGAATGGATATTTCACCTATGTGGCTTTCGCCTCCCGATATGATATAACTTCTCGATGAGCGATCCTCCGCTAGTCCTCAACAACACAGTGGAACAACTTTTCATGCGTTACCTTTAGGCATGCAAAGCTTCAGCCAACATAAAATGGCAGAACCGCCTTGTTGCACACAAGGGGAGGCCTTTGTAACATCGATCCCCTGCTGGCCCTCGTCTGCAAACTTTTTACTTCAATTTTAAAAAGAATGAACAAAACAATGGGTGAAAAGCAGTCGTGCGAAACAACGAAGGTTTCGAAAAGAATCTAACACAAGGAGCTAATCCACGTGATAATGAAAATCGCTGAAGTTCAAGTTCGCGGTTTTCTCTTAACCTCTATAACAAGTTCATTGAAGAAAGCTTTCTTCCAACGGTTTACCGCCTCATCGTGGCTGGGAGAATGTTCGTGGGTGTCGGGCTGCGATGTACAGTGGGAGATTAATCTCCTGGCAGGGTCTCACAAGCTGAAAAGGAGTCCGGCGTTTCCATCAGGAAACCCAGCTAAGAGTAAACCGATACCAAGATCCACCGCCGACGTGGTATCAAACTAGTCGCATAGTGACAAATTTCCCTTTGATCCATAAGAGCTGCATCTGCTTATGGTGGCGAAGACCTACGGCATACTTTGGCCGGGCTGACCTTGGGATTCCAGGGAACAGCGATGACGTAACCAGCGTATCTCTAAAAAAATGGAAATTACGTTGGGACCTGCACAACCAGTGAGGGCCGGCCATTCAATTACTAAGTATCAAGTAAGTATATAGCAACTTCACAACCAAAATTTAACCACGTTAAAATAAAATTATCGTTGGTGTACATAAATATTCACGAAAAGGACATATGTGCTCTTCCATGGACTTCATGTAAAAACTAGATTCGGATTGCGTGGAAGTGGAAATCGATGACCGGCTCTTACACAATCTTGGTTTTGCTGATGGTATCGTTTTATAACACTAAAGATGTTCTAGGCGAAAGGAATATGCCCGATTTATAAAAAAGTTGCGGATAAATTGGTCTTGGTCTGAAAAAGATATTGCTCTTAAGAAGCAGATTCCTTCTAATGTTCTATCTACACCTTAACCTTTTTCAAACGTTTACGTGACCTTAAATTATACTCGTGCTCCATCGTAGAAGAAGCCCTTCGAACAATTCGCGTGTTGTTTGGGCTGCTGCTTAGGATCTTTCCTTCTTTATGCATGTAGCAGAATTCTGGCTTCTTGAAATATTGGATGTAGCCAGGCCAAGGCGCTCCCACGCAGATTGGGCAGAGTGTTGAGGAAGGCGTCGAACTAGAACCTTTCTTTTGATGGACTATATCATTAGTTACTGCCCTTCTCCCGTTTCCAATGCTCCATCTACACTCAACAAAACAAATTTGTCAGAGTGCTTCAACTTGTTTAAAAATTACGAACGAATTAACTTTAGCACCGAGTAGAATGAAATGAGGAGCTTTGATAGCGCATAAAATATCGTCGATGAAGTGAAGAGTACAAGAAAGAACCAGCTTTATGGCAACTTTTGTCTGTGGTCCTTCTTGCTTTAACAGTCTCTTGGGAATGTGGAGACTACGTACGCAGGACAAAAAACTGCGAACCATTATTGGGTGTTCTATTGAGAGCGTGATGGTAGGACCAAGCATTAGTAAGCAGGTGAGAAAGCAAAGCCAAAGCTCCGATCAACGTCGATTTGTAAAGGACTGAAGATACTGTAATATTCAAGTTCCTATCTACCGCCCATCATTTTTTCATGAGAGGGTACGTTGTGAGATACAAAAATAGCAATGCTGAGATATTAACAAAACTCGGAACATCAGTTGGCTTCGAACCCGCAACAACTCAACCAGGTGTTAGCGTGCTCTATCCACCACTCCAACGAAGGCCCTGGTTTGATCTCACTTTCAGCCAATTTTTTGCTTTGTAGGTGCTATCAGCAATCACTCGTCAATAGAATTGATTTGATACCGTAATAATCTGATACTGCAATATATTCTAAGACGTCAGAAATCGAGTGTGTCGGATACGCGATGAATCTTAACGATACCGGTTGCACAACAGCCATTAAGGTTTTGCTTCACATGACGTGAAGAGCACAGGAAGAAAACAAGTTGAAGATCAGAGATCGTTAAAATAATCCGGAAAAAAATAATAAGCTCTTCGAGAGCGAGTGGGGCTTGCAGGGTGACTCTTGCATGCATCAGGGATGACTGAGAAACTCAACCGCGCCCAGTTGAGTTAATCGATGATCACTGAGAAAACACGTGATACAAGAAGCAGGAAAAATCGAAAAAATGTAATGTTATTCTTTACTCATTAATACGAACTAGCGATGAGAAGTTGCTAACCTACTTACCTGTATACTTGGATGACCAATCTTTACTAGTTGTGCGGGCCCCATCACAATTTCCACTTTTTTTGGAGTTTTGCTGGTTCAGCCGTCGTGGTTCCCTAAAGTCCCGAGGTCACCCTGGCCAAAGTTTGACCCAGGTCGTCACCACCACAGGCGGTCGCAGCCCTTGTGGAACAGAGGGAGACTTACCACCATGCAACTAACCGGATACCAGGACGGTAGTGGATCCTGGCATTGGTTTGCTCTTAGTTGGGCTTTCACATGGAAACACCGGACCCCATCTCAGCATGGGAGACCCGGCACGGAAAATGAATGGTCTCGCTGTACATCGCGGCTCGACATCCATGAACACCTTCCATCCACGATAAGGCGGTAGACCACTGGCAGGGAATAGAAGTTAGCCGACAAAAGTATTTATACCAGCCTTGTGTCAACTAAATCATGTGAAAAAATATTGGTGCGGCGTATAAAATCACTAATATTGGGTCCCAAAAGACATATTTGTCTTTTTTTGGCAAACTACTTTCGAGAACTGACGAAAAAAAACCACTGGGTTTGCTCAAAAATCTGAAATCGATTTATTAAACCACGACAGGTTTGTGAGGTACGAGATCCTAGACAGCTGCTGTTGTTCGACAACCTTAAGAATTTTTAAGCCTTATTATTTTTTTATTTTTTCATGAATTATTAACGCGCATAATTGCTTCTGTGCGTGAATGTAGCTACCAAAAGGCTTGGAAGCGACTTAAGCGTAAGGTTGTACATCTTCCCCCAATCTACATACATTGTTGAGTACCTGTTGTATTGAAATAAGACCGAAGTAGTGTGGCTACGGTAGACTAAAAAAGGAAAGAAGCACCTCAAGAAAAGCCAGTCGAAAGAGATCGGCTGGGCAGAACACGTTATTTCTGAGAATGAAAGGCCTGTAAAGTTTATTCACCTGGGCAGTCGTCCTTATTAACGACAAGAATTAGGAAAGCCGAAGATTTATATCGAAATAAGTCGTAACCGATGATAGTTCAAAAGACTCTCTGCAGATTTTCGATGCGAGAAAAAATCGAAGACTAATGAGAAGCTCTAATCAACAGCACTGCGCTGCCGATTACCTCTTATTTATCGATTACTGATAGATAAAGTCAGAACAATGTTTTGGAAAGAAGTGCAAGTAGAACAAAATGATATACCCCATTGGAAGAGTAATCCGAAGGTACCGAAGAATTGCTTTTTTTTAAACTTAAGAATGAGTTCTCAGCAGAATTTATGAGTGGAAAATGATTATTGTCGAGGTAACTATGCTTTCATTCTTTAAATAAAAGAGTTCTAGACGATTGATCAATCCCTAAGGAATGCGCTATGCATTCGTCTTCACTAAATATGCTCGGAGGTGATTGAATTTATATCTGGCATTGACGATGACGTGCTGTAGCCTACCGATGTATCGACCCAGTGCTACTATCCTCCCAGACAAATCTGGTACCAGTTTGCTGACCCCGCAGGGATGGAACGTTTGGTGATCCATCCATCGGCGCGGGGATCGATCTCATATGTGTGTCGCAGGGCAGTTCCAACCACTGCGCCACACGCACTTCTGCTTCATGCTTTATTACATGTAAATATCAATATTTCTTAAGAAACGCAGTTTCTTTCGTTTCTCCAACAAAACGCACGGAGTTTGGGAGAATGCAGATCCAGAACTACCGTCATCCAGTCATTTCCAAAATCGTGGATATTTCTGCACAAGTTCACATCTCCAACTTTTTTTGGCTTTCATGATCATCAAATTTGTAAAATCTTCATTCATTTGTCTATATAGATAAAGTTATCAAATATTTAAACAATATTTATAGAGGTGATTGAATGAGAAAGGCAAGAAGACACGGGTTGATCGCATTATTTCTGGTTTGATAGCTCATCAATGCGTAGTTGAAAGAACAACTTAGAGAGCTTTAAAAAAAGAGAAACACACAGTTGATAATCATTTAAGTGTAAAGCTGCATTCACTTCACAAGGGATGAAACGATGAAAAAAACAAAAAATGAACCGAACATAAGGATAACGCAATTTTGTGACGTTCCGTACTGCAAAGACACTAGTAAAAATCGGCTCTATACATCGTACGTATACGTAGTAATCATGATGGTGTTAGAGTAAAATCAAGAGGATGTAGCACTCATGAGATAGATCCTGCATGAAGGAATTAATATAACGTTGAAATAGGAAAACGGTTAAAGCTAACTCTAATCGGCTGCGCTATGTACAGACACATGTTGTGACTCACTTCGATCATGTAAAATCATTTTGGAAGGCTTAGATTTTTTGAACGAGTCGAATGAGTTCGGAAAGCGTTTGTGACTGAGCGTCAGAGATCGGCAACAGCGTCATATCCGGTGTGGCACGGATGTAGGCGTTGATTCGTTCAGCATGTTCAGCAACGAACAGCACATCTCTAAGTAACACCGGTTGATTTGCTTCCACTACTGGTATGGTCAGCGATAATTCACTCATCATAGCCGGTCGATCCTTAAAGTATTCGAACACACTGTGGCATACCGTCAGCAGCGACGTCAGCTCATCCTGAAACACTTAGCGTATTTTCTTCGATTACCCATGAAAAGCATCGATTGAGAAGAAACGACAATTATTTCTTGCAATTTTCTGGGGTGGTAGTAGCATTCATGCAACGCTCATGTATAGAAGAGCACCGTGGGAACAATGGTGTCATATGGGCGTTTTTGTAAGATTCACATTCTCAAACCCGGGTTGGCTAACTTAGTGGTAGACTTTTCTAGGAGCACAATGAGGAATGATGTTTGAATATTTGATATATCGGTAGGTCACCTTAAGCTATTTTTTGGGTTAAATATGCATTAAATCACCTTTGCGATGCTATAAATGGGGTCTAACGCATGGCACACTCCTGAAGGATCGACCGACACCCAACGTTTTATCTCTTTTATCTTTTATCTAACTGTTTAGGGATAAATACTTGCATACTGAAACTGGTGGAAATTGAGAAGAAAAGCCTTCTTTACCTTAGCAAATGAAAGCCGTCCAACATAGTCGGTGAATTCATTTATCAATGGCTGCACAGCGGTTTTGTTTTCCAAACAGCACGAGTTATCCTTATCTTCGTCTCGCTTCGTCGACGTCTAAAGAACCTACGACTTACGCTATTCTATTTTTTCTAGTGGCGTGTAAAAATTTAATAAAGATAACAGAATACAACAGAACCTACAAACCTAAAGAGTAGTCCTGCATGGAAATTCATAAGAGAGCTTTACCTCTGATGCGATTCCACTCAAGCTGATGTTGTGGCAGTCATCGGCGGCAGTTTGTCGCTTCTCCAGGAATTGCATCAATGATTCGAACGGATTTGTATGTGGACTACAAAAAACGATGATGAAATTTGAACTGTATCACTGACGAACTCAAAGCAAACACGTTCTTTAGAAGCCTTTAACAGATCAGTCTTTGAAACTATCGTTATGTAATAGCAATAACTTCTTTCCTAATAATTTTTAGCTCTTTAAAGATGTACACTTCAATACTCGTAGTAGGAAGCTCGTTTCTCGGCACCATAAAGCTGATTAGACATATTAGTCAATTATTTTATTATTTTTTTCATAATGCTGAGATATTTGAAAAACTCCGCACCGCAGATGTCTGCGATGAGGAACGAACGCGCTATTACCCTTTCAGGGGAGTAACGCGTTCACCACCACACCATGCGGGTCCTTCGTTTCGCCTGTCTCTCAGCTACTTCTTTCGCCCTCTGCCATCATCAATCACCCTTCAGCAGAATTGATAATAGCGTGTTCGTTCCCCACCGCAAACACCTGCCGTCCGGAGTTTTGCAAATCTCAGCATGATGAAAGTTATATTTCGCAACCTACCCTGCCATTAAAAAGGATAGGCAGTGAATAAAAAAGCTAAGATTGCTTTATTATTATTTTAATCACTTTAACCATTAATATTTTAATTATTTTATTTACGTATATGACTCGATTCCGCCCACTGCACTTATAACAGCACTTTCTTTTGATCGTTGTCTCGCATCCACCACGCAGAGGTCTCCTAGGAGGTTTCGCTCTTACTTCAAGACTTCGTGTTCTTCTTGAATGCTGGTATCGGCTGGGCACCTTCATTTACCCAGAACATTGCGATAGATCTGACAGGATGTGTCCAGATCTTTGGCACAAGCAGCCGCAAGAATTGGAGTGAGCTTTTCAGGACGAATCTTGCAAGTCAACCGGATTCCCCAGCATCCGAAGTAACACGAATTTTGACTTGGCCGAACGGACTAGAACCAGAGAAAATGCGTGTGTTGCATGGCATCTCTGCGCACGGCACTTCCCCCAAGGTCTATATTAACTGCTTCAACAAACGAATTATGAAAATTATATATATATATATACATATATACGTTCCATTTTATAAATGAGGAATCATGATGACATTCGTTGGAGATTCACACAAGTTTCTTTTGTTGAACAACAAGAACCAACTAAATTGCTACATTTAATCAGTTATTTCGAGTTTAAAGCCTTCAGCACGAATAATTCCTTGAATTGAATTTCCAGAATGACTCCCCATTTCGATAGTTTTCAAGTTCGCCGTTGAATTTCTCGAATGTGATACGAGACAGACAACGTTCAAAAGCATTTTGTCATCGTTACGGGTGGCAATGTGTGAGTGACTGAGGTAAGGTAGGAAGGCACGAGGCGAAACACAACAAAGAGCCCGTCGGACGACGACGGCGTCCCGTTCGAAACGTCAGCGCGCTCGACGTCCTCCGAAGTGCAGCGAACACAAGGAGGTGATAGATGGATGAACGCTGAGAGGAGGTGAGTGGGTGGCGAACTATCTTTGGGTGCAAAGAAACACGGCTACGGGAACTTGATGTTGGCGCCCTTTGCAAAGAAATTCCGCCGAAAGTCCGGTTTTGGCCAAAACACGCACTGGTGAGTAGGAGACTATCAGTATAAGCAATAGATATGAATTTGAGTAAGAGTCAATGAAAAAACGAGAGAACCCCGCAGAAGAAAAGGAAAACTATGTACAAAATTAATGTATGGGGGAATCCTGCGAAAATTTTAAGGCTACAGGAAAGGACCAGAATCTCATAAAAAGAGGGGTTAAGGCACAGATCCTCATCAGAGATCTTTGCTCTTCTTGTCGGATAACAAGCATGTTTAGAAACTTTCATTTGCACAATAGGAGATGAGTAGCCTAGTCATATTCATGTGGTTCATCACGAGCATGGTGGTGGTTCGACCCATGCACCGTGTCCACCACGCCTATCTTACCCCCGAGGTCGGAAACAGTGCCAAAGTTGTCTGGCAAGTACTCACACTATGTAATCCAAATATGGAAGTTTTAGCCTGGTTATCCTAAGACTTCGGAGAGAACCGTGTCGAACAGCATTCAACGACATTCATGAACAAGACGACCATCCTCAAGCAGCAGGTGAACACACATGCGGAATGTTCGAAAACCTTCGTTGATGATGGAAGCAAGAAAAAGAATCGAACACAAGAGGTGCTGAAATCCGCACAGTAGCTGAGAAGACGGGTCGCCTAACGCTCGTAATAAACATTTCCACAATGCTAGTTATTTCATTATCGTGTCGTCATATTACCTCCCAACGCTTTACCGCCTGATGGTGGCAGTAGGTGCTTCTGGGTGTCGGGTCGCGATGTAGAGCGGGTGATTCATCCCTCGGCAGGAACTCCCGAACTATAAAGGAGTTCGGCGTTTCCAACAGGAAGCTAAGAGTAAACCAATACCAGGATCCACCACCATTCTGGTATCAAACCAGTCGCCTGGTGACAAATCTCCCTCTGATCCACAGGAGCGGTGACTGCCTGTGGTGGCGGCCTGGGGCAGACTTTGGCCAGGCTGACCTCGAGACTCGAGGGAAATACGATAGCTAATCCAGCAAAACTCCGAAAACTGGAAAATATGCTAGGACCTGCACAAGTACTGAGGACGGGCTGTCCAAGTATTCAAATAAGTAAGTCATCATGTTAAATATTACTTAACGTTCGGATTTTATTACGGATTTTCAGAGATAACTCTGGTGTTGGAGTTGGTGTCTCTTCTACTGTCAAAACAATGAAGCAAAAACTCACTTATTTGCAACGAATAACGTGGCAAGATGTGGTTGTATTTGAGTGATAACCTCCGGGCAGATCGTCGATTCGAACAATGCCGCTGACGGCATTGGATACTCGGGTAGTAGAAAACTAAACTATGAAAATCCCTTCAGAAAAAGGACTCCCTACACGTTCACTGGACTTGCAACGTTCGGTGGAAATTGTGAGTCTCAAACATGTTTTAGAACAGAAAATTTGGAAGAGGAAAACGGAAGAATTGTAGTTCTTTGACGTCGTAGAGTTAAACATGCATTAATACTAGGCATTGTAAGAGCAGCTACGAGCATATGAATGAAAGAAAAGAGAAAGGAACCGTTCCAGAGAAAGCGCACATTGCTCATGCCGTTATAATTTGAACCTTCATAAAAAAAATCGTTTTAATAAGAACTTGAGGATCGATAGGACTGAAAAACAACGTTCACAAAGGGGAGAGAAAATAATGAAGAAGATATAGTTTACCTCAATTGAAACTTACCTCATCAGACTGCGAAAACCGTGACCGTCCACAATTTTTGATGGAATTTGATCTATCAGCATCATCATGGCAATCTGAAAAGCCAAAAGTTCTAAAAATTAACGCCAACATTCTTTGCAACTTACTTCTCCTCACCTAAAAGTGTCATCGGCTCATTAAAGAGATGAGCCAAATAATCAGCAAGAGTTAACGATATTTATTTCGGAATAACACATATTTTTAGTTCCTGACCGATATAAACCCTATAGCGCCCTACGATTTAAACAGACTTCACTATCCATCACGATAACCAGCTGTACACGAGGACGAACATACTTCTTACTTCAGTAGTCACCAAAGCCAATCATGTATAATGACTTTATGCTATAACTTGAGTTAAAACGTTATGACTTCTGATGCAGCCTTAGTTTACCGGGGATAAATGCCGATTTATGCTCACCAGAGCATTTCCGTTGACAGGTGATTGCTCATAATAGTATCGAGAGATAAAGGCGACAGAAAGGCAAAACAAGGGCATAGGCTGGTGAGGGGAATAGCAAGTGAGCACCTGGCAAGGGTAATCGCGGGTTCGAAGCCCTCGTGAGGTTTCGAGCTTTGCTCATATCTCAGCATCCTTAAGGTTGTATACTGACTTTAGTTCCATATTCATATATTCATATTAAGTCTCTGAACGATGAAGACCGAGGTGACGAAGGAGAATGAAGGTTTCACTGAAGGTTTCCACTTCAAATAGTTATAATTCCCAAAGTTTAGGCTAATGTAAAAAAAACTCCTTAACCATACAGATTGCGACGGCAGTAAACTTTATCTAATCGTCAGCACTCAATATTAAGCGATTAGTGCATTTAGATTTTGCCAAGACGTAAAGCTTCTTATCGGTAAGATATCGCACCGCTTCGTATCGTATTTGCTACGGATCGAAATTCCAGTCAGGATCGACTGAAAACATTGCGATCACATAAAACCAGGTCACCTTGAACAATGGCAAGCTTCCAACGACACGAAGTCCGATTTAAAGTCGGCGAATGGACACAAATCCAAATAACATCGATTTGTGAATTCACAGAAACTAGTAGGAACGAATACCCATTTCTTTATTAGACGATGTGCAATGGCCAAATCAGATCTTGGCGGTTCCCTCAGGGACCTTCACTGGCTGCCTATCCGGTCTTTTGAGATGCCAGAAAACGTGCTTGGACGTAAAAAGTTTCCATTGGTGTTATGATGTTTGCGACATATTTCCTGAACTAGTTGCCCAGTTGCAATGATGTCAACAACAACAGCGAGCAGTGTTAGCCATTTGCGAGCCGAACTGGCTTTACGAGTTATTCATGTTGTGTAGATTCAGCTCTTACATTCCTATTAACATCATGCCATAACATACTGTAAGTCCATGAACTTACTGTAAGCAGTGTCTCTGCACCAGATTTAGCTCTGTTGAATTGAAAAGGCAACTCTCATGCAGTAACTGTTAACCAGATACCGAGTAGAATAAGTTAGTTATGTGAATCGGAATCATTACTGAAGAAATTTAAGCTTCAATCAGCCATCATTGTTTATTGGCGAAATAGCCCATTGAACAATGCTCAAATAACATTCGCTGATGATTTTAGCAAAATACGAAGATGTCGATGTAAACGAATGCGAGCGTTGTTAGCCTGACTGATAAGTCGATGGCCATGTTTGAAAGAATCCTATGTAAACCGCGGTACAGAGGAGGGTTTCCGCTCACAAAGAACGTAAACAGCAGAAAAACGGCTTTGAAGGAGGCGAAATCGCCGGAACGTCAGAAACTGAAAAGCAAAACACGTGCTGACTGACAGCCTCGTATCAGCTCATGGATGTCGATAACTCTTGGTAAAAAGGTTTTTCGCCAATGCCGAGGTAAACTGGAAGTCGATCTTCCGTACTCGACATTTTCGGCTCGCCTACCGTCCACCTGCTTTGTCTAGAAAACTTGATTGCGTAGACATATTTGCAACTCCAGGGATCGTCTGTACTCAGCTCTTCGCCATCACCATTGCCACCAAGAGAATCGTGTGATAGAGTGTTGGCCAAATATAGCTGGCTTGCTGCTTGCTGAACGTGCTTCTTCGACGAGTGGACGTGTTGTCGTCGACAATGGCCAATTACCGTATAATTGAAGTGCGAGCGGCGGGATCGGCGTGGGACGCGGAACCGGTTGGCTCAGTAGCAGTGCTGATCGCCGAAGCCGACCGACACGCACACATAAGCACAAAGCTAAGAAAAACCCGCCTTTTAGTTGCTAACACAATTGCAACAACAGAATAGTAGCAAGGACAAATCAGAATTAGAGCTGCGGCAAGAGATCATTAGGTCTAATTATGTTCCAAAATTACGAAATCTACCACCAGCGCTATAATGGATCAGCTACAGCAGTTCTTCCCCGATCGTCTTTTATTAAGACGTTGATTTACTCAGCATATCGAAGTACTAACAATAGTTAACGATTAGCAAATCTCATCAAGTGGAATGTGATCTCGAAATTTCGCCGATCCCTCCAAAATTGCTCGGAAAGTGTTAGTGCGTCGTCGACTTTGAATTCCATCAGTCGTTGGCAGAATGTTTTGTATGTTCCGCCGGCTAGCACCTGCACTTCTCTGTGAGTCAAAGAGGAAATGGCCGAGAAAAAGACGACGAAGACCATCCAACCCGCCAGCCGTCTGTTGCACATGCATTCCATATCGTCCGAAGTACATCTGCCACATAGCTCTATCACCCCCGCACGAATGTCATCGGCGGCGCCGTTCGACGAGAACAACACCTGCCCGTGATAGGGAGTCTTTCGAGTTTCATTATAAAACCATCAATAAAAATGACATCTCGGAAGCGATCGATTAGAAAAGCTTCAAATATGGTTTTTAACCTTTGTAGGCGTAACGTATAGGTAGCGAAAAAGCGAAGATATGAAAACCTCAAGGAAAGCTGAACGCTTGTTTATCAAGAACCATTGCTTTAATTCAAGCCTGCATAACAGAGGGAACTCTTGGTGGTATTTGATTGTTATCCTACTGAATATAATTCAGCATATTGCCGTCTTGCGATAACTACTGATTTACCTACCTGTGCGTTGATTTTTCGCTCATCGACATTACGCAGTTGGAAATTTCGCGACATGGAAGCCAGCAATGGCTTTTGGTCGGCGCCGTTCTCGATTTCCTCTGTGCATTTTTTCTGGCTCAAAGTGGCGAACGCTGATGGTTTTGCGCTAAGATCGGTCGGCTCGTGAACGTCGTCTTCAACCTCAATTTGAAAATCTGATATCCAGAAGGTTTTCGTTCAAATTTTTGGCGATTTCCGCTAAACGGTCGCAGCTTTCATATAAACGCTCGTCGACGTTTTTACTGTATCTTTGTGAGTCAACGCAAAATGGATACTCATCAAAGCCATACAATGACTCCAGTGGCTACGAAAACTGTTTTGAGATCTTGTACATTACTTTAAAAAACAGATAGAGGTTCAAAAGCGTTCAGAGTATTTACTCTAGCCCTAGGTGATCTAAATTATCGCAAATATATCAGAACCTCAGTGGCTTCATGTTTGACAGACATCTGTTGTGTAAAAATCTTCACAGGTTTTGGTGCCGGTAAGCCTACTGGAGCAATGGATACAGGTTGCACAGGAGGTAAGGCTGGTCCGAATAAAGACGAAGCCGATGAGGCAGTGTCACTGGATGATGAAGAAGCTGAATACGATTACATGATGCCACCTAAGTGGTACGGATTTCGGCACGAAAGACTACCGATAGAAGAATCAACAGTTCTCTTACAGTTCGCTGATTAACTACAGATAGGAAGTTTCGACCTAAGAGAATAAAAATACTTTCATAGAAGAAGTATTAGTGTACCTGAAGGGCTCTTCTGCGGTTCGGGTGGCGTCTTTTTGTTGATGTGAGCGACCATTGTCGACGCTACATGAGTATTCATTTCTCGAAGAAGCTGAGCACGAGCTTTCTCTTCTAAAGGAAAATGTGTCTTCAAATAGAGAAAAATTGGAAATAACTCTTTCATAGATCAAATATTTTGTATGTGGGTAAATCACGTCAACGTAGAGGAATGTTCGAACAACTAATTTTATTTTACGTTATGAAACATTAGAAAACAAGAGTACTACTATTTGCTTTCAAATGCAAATACTTGGCTGCCGTTAATAGTTGGAAGGCCTTGGCTAGGCATTATTTGAATACGCTGTTATCTATAGCGCCAGACAACCAGCTGGTGCTACCTGTTCGTCGTCTAAGTCATTCCGTTCGTCGAATACAGTGTTGAGGATGAGCATCGACGAATGGACAGGTGGTAGCTGGCAATGTCGAGCAGCCGGTTTCCGATAACGGCTGATAGAAAGGCCAATTGACGGCTCGCGACGATCATCATTATTTCCTTGTAATTTCAAATCGTAGTGAAAAATTTGAATATGATGGAAGATCGATTTCTAGGATAAGGCGCCTTTAACAAGAAGCTCTCGTTTTAAGCCGAAGTTGAGCTTAAAAGTACTTTTCTCTCAGTCATCTGCATGAAAGACATATTCAATTATACCTTTTAGGATAAATTTTTCCCATACAAAAATCTACCGGTTTTTTTTCTTTTTCGGTGATCAAATTTGAAACGGCTCATCGTCTTAAAAAGTGCAGAGGATTTTCTTACGATCCGAAATGCACAACATTACAGAGTGTGCGTACGAGCGTACGCATGGCGGTCTTTGTTCAACGAGATTTGTTCTGGACAAACCGGTTGGTATGACGATGGGCCGAGATCATTTCGTATGCTGTGCTAAAGCCTGCTGGTTCCTTAGATCTTCACGTAGATTCTTGTTAACTTTTATAAAACAAAGCATGACCGCGTTTAGCGTAGTACTTAAAGGTGGTCTGAAATATACACACCCAGTCGCTGGTTCAATCTCGCACCCCGGGCTCTCCTCTTTCTTTACAGACTAGGCAAGATAATATCAAAGTTGTCAGAGTTTATATAACAGTGACCCTTCGTAGGTCTGTAAAGACTAAACATGCATTCAATCATCCTACTGTACTACGAATAGAATGGAGTATATGGCGGATTCCTAAAAGATTGGTCAATTGCAAACGCTTCCATCAAATGCAAGCTAGTGTGACCTAAGCTGAGGCATCGTGAATTATCCGCTATTGTATCACAAAGAAGAAATCACATTTCACATATATCTGATTGCTTTCTTATGTGTGATACAAGCATCGCTAGTCCATAGGTCATGAAACACTTTCATTAGCTGAGTGGCAATTCAGAGTGATAAAAGTTCAGGACATCTCCTCACAGTTACGTTCCTTCGTGTATCTTCAAAATCCATGCATTAGTAAGCCTTCGGAAACTTGTTCACACAATGGCGATGTACAAGCTTGTGTCTTTCAGCATTTATGATATCATCATAGAACTTATGAGAAAACACATCTGAATTAAGCTTAGTGGCATTCGATTGCCTTTGCCTTTATGGATCATAAAACGATGCATAGCAGTTTAGACTTATTCTGAGATGGATGTAAGCCATTAGCCCTAAATGGCCGTCACAGATAGAAAGTCGCATGCGTCGAGGACAAAGAACTACTAGACCTTCAAGGAAAAAACCGAAAAAGAACTAGATTTCGGGAAAATCAGGGGAAGAACATGACAATAAAACTGAAGTATTCGCAGTAGCAGACGTAGATGTGTGAGCAGACGGATACGCAGTTGAATTGATAGGTCAAGACTGATTCCTCACATTGATTGTCAGCTCTACCCCTTAAGTCTCAAGGATTCTGTTCTAGTGAGCCAAATAAACGGCACAGCCGATCATGGATTACCGGCCGCCTTCAAGTATGAAGTTCGTAGACAAGTCAACAATAGCCACGATAGAGTCATTTACACCGCGTAACTCAACGGTGACGGCGTTGTATACGAAAAACCGTTAAAAACTGACTAACTGGCTGGATACGATGGTACCTAGTTATCGGACGGACAATTTATTCCTCTGGATTTATGGATGAGAAAGTATGATTTTCTTTGATCCAGTGCAGGAAATGTCTGTTTGGCGAGAGTGACAACAGAAGAAGTACGGATAAAGAGCAAACAATACTAAACGAACGATATGGATAGGATAGGATAACGGATAACGGATATATAACGGATAGGCTACAAGCTTAACAAATTGCTGTTGTTCTTCTTGTCACTTTTAAGTAAAATCAGAAAAATTCAAAAAGGTCGGTCCAGGTTCTTTTGCCCAACGCAAACTGCGCCACGCCAGTACAAGAGGAAAGTAATGAAGTGAAATTGGTTCGAAACAAGATTGGTCCAAATTTATTCCTTCATAAACTTTTCTTGTTTGTTGATTCAAATTTAACAACGAGAATCAAGTTCCGTGGTTTTTTCACTTGTCGCTGTTTGTCTAAACCTTTATAAATTTCAAAAAAAAAGAACGGACGGTAGCTATTTGAATGGGTCTGGTCACGGTTATGCTATTTTTTTTGAGTTTGACAACGACTTTAGCAGAACTTGCTCTGTCTACATGCAAAACATCCAGGAACACATGTTGACCGGCTTTTGAAATATCATTTGGTCATCTGGTTAGGTAGGTGAGCTTGTTATGGTCGTCACCGACTCACCCATTTTCAGGATCAGCGTGGATTGACGAGCTTCCTGAACCTGTTGATATTCCTGCACATGGCAGCTTCGAAGATGTCGTATCATTCCTGTAGTGCTGAAAAAGAATCGTTTAAGGTCAGGCCTTTTTCACTTAAGAAAAGAAAGATGCGTTTCACGGTAGGCAAATAGTAGGGAGAGCTCTTAGGCTGTGTTGTTAAAACAGTAATTTTTCTATTCGAATAGTGCCATCTTATTTCGAGAACAGCAAGAAAAGCTGTCCAGTCAGATGAACTGAACACCAAAAATCAATTCATGGTAAGATCTTTTGTGACGCTCGAAATTCCTTTGGCGTTTTTCAAGAAGTAATCAACACAAATAGCTTAGCCCTCTTTTTTCTATGACGACTAAGTCATAAATCTGCTAGCTTATTAGCTTATTTATAAGTATAGAAACTTCCGCACAGCCACATTTTCGACACGAGTCTCCTTACACTGGGTATTGCCTGCTAGTCCTGACTGTAGGAAAAAAAACTAGGCACGGAATAATACGAATATCAAATTTCTGTAGTCTAGAACCAGCTGAAAAATTTAGAGCCGCGTGTCCCCAGTTTGGTGGGATTCGGCAGTCGGAAACGTCGGGTATCATCCTCTGACGTTAACAAAAGACACTCCGCCACAAGGAAAGCTGACGAAATCCCTCTTTCTTCATCATAATGTTCGAATTCCATGAGAGCGACTGTTCAATAGTGGATTCAAGATTCGTGTGCTTACTGTGGTGGACAAGTGTGTAGGGCGGAAGCCAAAATATCAACACAGGACTCCAGGAGATAGATAGCGCAATGAAAACTTTCCTATTCCATTACTGTACATTATTTCGTAAAGTATTGTACGACCTAGTCTCACATCTATTTTGAGGATCCCAGTACTTCTTGCATTCGAGTCGTTTCCAGGCATCCATTATCCACGAAGGTCTTCCAAGTTTTAGGTTTGGCTTCGGTTGCTGCTTGAGAAGTTCATCTTGTATCAGAATACAGGTCGGGATAATTCTCCTTGCAATCTTAGAATTAGCCGGGCTAGCGCGTTATCACGTGGATTGGAGAAGAGCCATGGGAGAGGTCGAATCAGTATCTTGCCTCGTAATGGACTGTATCACTAACCACTCTACCACCTCTCTCTCTCTCCTTCAACACTGTATTTGACAAATAGTGCACATCAATTAGAAAAAATATTGAAAAGCAAAGGAGTGGTATTGGTCAAACGAATTCCACTTAGAGGAGATTTCAAAAGCAGCTTGATAACAAGATGAACGAAAATTTCAACATCTTGATTGATTCAAGACGCAGTCATGTTTTTGATGATTCTAAATCATCTCCACTAAAGACACCGATGAATTTCAAACTTTCCTCTTAACTTGAATCCTAAGAAAATAAAAAAAAATTCCGAATGCTTGATGGCAGGTAAACCTGCTGTTAGTAGCTTTAATCTTCTTCCTACATAGTCGACACTCGGCCGCTTGCTCAGGTGTCGGCAACTCGTCGAAAAACCGCCATACCTGCAAAAAGTCGCTGGAGGAGAACGCGAAACTCGTCCGGAAATGACAATGTGTCTAACCAGAACCGGAAAGAGTTCAACGCATATTACTAAGCGTTAGCAATCAACTAATAGAAAATTGGCCAAAAATTTATCTTGAAAATAGGAGCTTCACTGGAATTCTGCACAACATACTTTCTTAATCCTTTTTGGCTCAATATAATAAAACGTATATCACGAATGGAATAAGTGTAGCACAGTGACCAAACTTTTCCTGAGATACCGATGTTTGTTGGGCGACCCCACACTCTGGTCTGACCAACTAGCTTATTCACCAAGCATCAGAAGATTGGTATAAGAATAGTACTGCGAATAAAAGAGTTGACTTAATATACGAGTAGGCCACAGTAGGAGATTGTGTAGGGTAAATGTACATTCAATAATTTTTACGATGATACGAATGGAGTCGAATGCATAGCATGCCCCTAAAAGATACCTCATCGCCAAACGCTTTGTTCTTCATCTGCATTCTATCTCAAAAAAAACCTGGTAAAGCTAACAGCTAATGAATTTAGCAAGTTTAAGTTTTTAATAAACCATAAAAAACAATTTTGTTATCGCAAAATTTTTCTAATCTGGATCAGAGAGAATGATAGTCGCTTAAATGGCTTTTGGTCTTCAGTATGATCAGCTCTGTGGAGTATTAAATTGCCTAAGACCTCATGTTGATACAATCAAAGCCGTCAGCGAAAGAATAATAGGAATATCAGAGAAGTAAGCTGGAATGTATATCCTGATGTAATTCAATGGATTAAATGTTCGGGAAACGAAAAAGATGATGAAAAACTTGCTTTTGCCGTCTTCATTGTCGAACCTCCAACCCGTTTGCGAGGCATCGTATAGTCTGCATTCTGGAATTGTGCTCATTATCACCAGTTTTAAAAAGTAAACCCAAAACCAGGTAATCTATCACTTAATCTGATCACCATTCTCGGCTTGGATTCCGCTGATGTACTGCCGGCAACAGTCTGTAGGGCAGCAATATGTTGCGATTGTAGCGCTGCTACTTGCGATTGTAGTAGAGACTTAAGCAATAAAACTTTACCGTATCTGGTAGAAAGATGGTGTTTTCTATAACAAACTTGGAAATGCGGTGATTGCAGTTGCGATGCGAATGCCGCAAAGGCTGACGGAAATGAGGGAAACGAGCCGGGCTGAGGCAGCTGTAGCATCGAAGGCCTGAATCAAGGTGTTTTTGATGCACGTGTACTGTAGTCCGAAGAAAATTCGATAGAACAGCTACCATAGCCAACACTGTGCATTTGTGATTGAATATGGAAGAGTTACTGCGAAATGAAACTTTGCTTGGTTCAGAAATGAATAAAGAGATTTGTAAGATGTGGTAGTACTTCTCTCTGCGAAACAGTGGATCTCATACATAACAGGAGTTCTCGAGCTGACGAGCCAAGAACAGTTTCCACGCAGGCGACAGAGGTAGCTCTAAGAAGGAAAACACTTGGGAAAGGATTCTGTACCTATAATCCCCACCAAATTTTGGTAAACGAAGAACAGCAAGGAAAGACGTGCATTCCAAAATAGAAATCATCTACACAGCTCTACTCATTCAGTCATGAACTCTATTTCAGTCTAACCTATATTTAAAGCTTCTCGTCCAAAACAACATTTTACACCACCCCGATGTTTTTTTTTCATTACCACAAAGTAATGGGATAAAAAAGATAAATAGCTAATTAAACGAACAGACACGAAGTTCTCTGTTTATGAATAGATGCAACCTGGTACAATAGACGGTGTACCGTAACAGACATAAATGAAACGATTCATTCTGGCTCATAAGTTATGTGGGCCATGTCAGATCTGATCTTGAAGAATTTGTTTACCGAACGCTATACGATAACCAGATGAATTAGCATATTGGTTGTGCGTTCAGTAGTCGATGCGCAATATCCTTCAAGGAGATCATGGATGGCGCCAGCCAGCGAGCGACAAGCGGCGAGAAACGTGATGATTACATACCCTAGATTCGCTCGCCCGTTTGTCCAGAACATTTGATCAACACAAACGAAAACGATATTCAAATCCACAAAACGATGAGTCCAGTCAGAACTCCCTTATCATCGAATGAGCACCGGTCGATTCAGATACACCACTAGCCAAGAGGTGAAGAATGCGAAGACAAGATGAACATCAGGAAGATGCCGGCGGATGAAAGGATACTTAGAGAGGTTGTTTTTGTTGTTTAAAATATTGTATTTAATTGCGAAATACTGTAAAACAATAAAACTGATCGATAGATACGAAAAAGTACTTTTGGAGCACATGAAGATTTAAACAAAGTCCCTGCCCTTTCTAGGAAAAGTGAATTGAAAAATCGGGGCGAATCGAATCCTGCCGATTTTTGTACTAACTAGTTGGTACATAGGCGTCACATGTAATATCTATAAGACGTAAACGGTTGAAGAGCTTGTGCGAAATTCCCTATTCCTAAACTTTTGCTAAAATCTTTAACTTTGGTTTCCTGAAATAGATTTTATGATCACAGAGGTTTCTATCGGCAGAATTCTTGTGGAAAGCAGGTTGACCACCGAGTGGAAACTTCTTGCTTAAATAGATATTTACAACGAGTTAAAAGATAAGTGGACGAGACTCAAGACTCAAGAGTGCGCTGTGGATGGTCAGAAGAAGGATAGTGAGTACCGTGGAACGGATTATGGCCACGCCGCAAATCCGGGAGAAATTCACGGGAATGAAATAAACACGAACAGTCGCAGTCTGTTTCTCTGCTGAATGTTCTTAATAGTTTCTGGATGCGAAAAGTAATAAAACCCTAAAATCGTTTAAGGAGCGAAATCTGTACAAATCGACAGACGTCCATTTTAACAAGTTAATACATTAAATCTGTACAATCTTTTTTAAGAATTGGTTTAAGCCCTGCTAGTGGGCTTTCCCATTTTCTTCTTAACTGGATGCAGAATGTCTAGCTTGTATGAAACAAAGGTGTAATTGAGAGGAAGTATCTAAAGTGATGAAGGTATTGTTTGACAACCAGGAAGAACCGCCAACTTGTAACACAAAGGATACATTGAAGATCTCGACGAGGCGCTACTGACGAAGCTAATGCCTTCGTTGGCAATGGAGGAAAGGGCGTGGTTTGACAAGTGTGATCCGACGACAGGGCTACTGTCGTCGTATTACGCTATTGTGTTGGTCAATCGCCAGTGGGAGGAGCACCAGCCAAGATGGTGGTGATGGCCGAGGCGTGGCCTGGCCAGTGGTTCGGTGGCCCTCCAAAGAACTACGGACGAAACGAGTTCGAGATGAACGCCACTCGACGCCTAAAAGACAGCGAGCGCTTCCTTCGGCGGCAGACCTGCGCAGACTAGTTGCGTGTAACAAGGCAAGCTTCACTCATCAATCCAGAGGACATCCGAAGCCATCTCAATCGCCAGTGGCAGTGTGGGAATGGAACAGGTTTGCCGAAGAGCGGGTCAGTCGTCACGACGCAGATCTACGAGCGGCGGCTAAGCAATAACGTACTAAGCATCAACGACGACG